TATGGGCGCGACGGATTATTAAAAAATTATTTATCCATCTACCACCTCGCATTTGGAGGAAAGAAGGGAAAATCTCAACACCTCCTCCCAAATGCACACAGCATTTTCTTACATTCCTCTCGGGCGTCTCCACTGTCTGGAGATGGAGGGGCAACAGCCCACCGCCCACGTCTTAGATTTGGGACCAGGCAGCAAGGAAGAGAGCACTCGCTTTAGCTTTCTTTTCCGGGACACTTCAGTGACTTTCGCCGGAGGCTGACACTTGGCTGGAAAAGTTCCAGCCAGCTCCCCGCGCGCATTTTAGGGGAGTGGGGGGATTCCTCGAAGCCCACGCACATTCACACGTCCTCGCGGTTGCGCGACTTTCGGGAGGCAAGCGGCGAGGCGATCAAACGTGAGGCGACAACTCTGGAATCGTCCACATCGACCCTGCTTTTTACCTGGCAGAGCCGAAAATTATTTGTTCAGGCTCCGCGTCCCCCTCTCTTACCACAGCCACACACGGAGACACCGCGCGGAAACCTGCACAAGTGGAAGCCTCCCGCCAGAGAACGGGATTCTGGCTTTCGCTTCCTCTGGTCTCCGAAGTGCCCTCAGGGAGGGTTGAGAGTAGACGGCGGGGGGAAAAGTCCAAGGCCAGGAGGGCCCGGACGGCAGGATTGGACTCCGGAGTGAGAAGCGGAGGCCACGGAGACTCTGGGGGGAAAAGAGGGGGACTCGCTTTCCCCGCGCTTGCGCTTTCTCCGGGGAGGCTGCGGGCGGAGTGGGTGGCAGGATAGAGTCAGACCTAGGTTGTGGTGGGGTGGTTAGAAGGGATGGTGGGGGGCTCCCCACAGCCCGACGGTCGTTTTTCGTAATAGGCACGAATTGCAGACGACCTGCTCAAAGAGTACGGAGAGGTCTCCCTTTTTCCCGTGAGGCCCTTTTCCTTCACTCTCTTTTTCGTGATTCGGGGGCCAGAGCAAAAGGAGTTTCGCGGGGACCTATTTTTAACACTTCGTCCGGGCTTCTTGTTTTTGGGGGTACGCAGAGTCAAACCAGACAGTAAAAACAGAGACCACACTGGAGCCGAGATGAGCCCCAATTCACTTCGGACCGACAGCTTTGCCTTTCGGGCGATTTTTTTTTCTCTTCAGACGCCTGGCGACCAGAGTTGCGTCTCAGGAAAGAGAACCGGGGGCGCCTTTGCCCGACTCCCGAGAGCTCCGCCTCTTATACCTGAGAAGAGAGCCCGGTCAGGGACAGGGACTAGCCAGTTCACCTTCCGTGGCTAGGGGCCCTCCCGCTCCTCCCCTTAACAAACCCCTGAGGGGGATTTGGCTTTGTAACGAGCAGGGCACGGCGGGGCGTATACGACGCGGCCAGCCTCACTTTCCTCAGGGGGACGAGATGGCGGCAATTGCAGTAGTGCCAGGCTCGACCTATCCCCAGATGGCTTTCTCGCGGAGGCACGCACGCACGCGCGCGCGCAGGCAGGCAGGCCACGCACGTACGCACGCACGCTGGCGCTTCTCTATACCCAGCACGGCGGGGGTGGGGTGGGGGTCAGGACGAGGGACTGGTTTTAAGTGCTGATTTCTGTGTTGAAGAGGAGCGGCCGGCCAGTGTTACTGTAGGCCGGACCTACAATTTAAGTAATATACTTTGTTGATTCAAATCAACCGCCCTCACCCCAATCTTGGAACACGTGCTTGAAACGTTGTAAGAAAGCACTGTTAAACTTGGGGAGGAACGTCCAAACACGGCCGCAAGAGTCTCAAAGTGGCCATCCCACCTTCCCCCCCCCCAAGCAGCCCCTTCCCCTACAACGCGCACCGACCAGGCGGACTTCATTTCTTTCGACACCGGTTCATATTAATATACGGCAGCCGCGAAAAGCAACGACTGAAAAAAATCAGCCCAGGAGCCCCACCGCGCATGCGGCCTCGTCCGACAATCTCGCAAGGAAGGGAAAGCGGGGGAAGAAGGGAGGGAGGCAGGGGTTTGTTTCCCTTCCGCAAAGCAAAACAGAAAACTTTGTACGGTGTATTTTTTTCCCGGGAGGGTGAGGAGAGGGAAATAGTTCCGCGCTTGGTCGAGCAGGAATGGAAACAGCCCAAGGATCGACAGAGCAGCGAAGCACCCACGCCAAGTTTTCCTCGGTCGACGACTTAAAACGATTTCCATGCGCAACCGCAAGCCAATCCCTTGCAAGAATGCCCACCCCAAATTTTATTACCCTCAGCTAGAGCGGAGTCTCTTTATTTCAGACCGGAGGTTTGGAAGGACGGAGGTAGAGGGATATTGGGAAAAGGAAGGCGAGGGAATCGTTTTTCCAAATCCCCAAAAGATGGCAGTCGAAGCTGGCGTTCCATCTCCTTTGGCTCTGAGGCGAGAGGCAAAGAAAAGGAAGGAAGGAACGGGAGGAGGAAGGTGGAAGACAACTGATCTGTTTTCAAATAAATCCCTCCAGAGATTTTTCAGGGCAAACAAACCCTACTCTTTGGGCAGCAAACAAGAGATGCATTTCAACTCAATCGCTTCCTGGGCCCCCGTCCCACCGCGCGAGTGCCGCAAATGGGCCAAAGAGGCGCGAGTCAGAATTTTTTTATCAAGCGATGCCCTCGCTCGCTCCAGCCCGCGTCCACATCCCGATATGGACCTACGTTAATCCCGATCACTTTGCGATGGACGGATCCAACTCAAAACTTTTGATTCCCAGTTTGGGGAGTGGGGGGGAAGCGAGCGAGGGGGAGCCGGCGGCAAAGTAGAACCAGACAGAGAAAGAGTAACAGGCGGCGCTTTCTTTTTTTCCCCATATAGGGTAACTGAGTGTCCAAAGAGAGAATAATCTCCTGTTATTTATTTTCCCCTTTTACTTCCAACAAATCTAAGAGGATGAATTGCGGTCTGGTTGCCAAAAAAAAGAGGGGGGGTGATAAAGAGGGGAGGGAAGAAAAACCAACTTCTCTCCCTTCCCCCAGCCATCTCTTCTGTCGCTGCTGCCTTCGCTTTGAATGTGGGTAACTAGGAAACAGCCAGCAGCCTGAGAAGGCGGAATTTCCAACGTATAAAATGTTCTTAACGGAGCCATTGAGTGTGTGCAATAAGGCGTGAGGGGGAACTAATCTCTCCATTTAAATGTTTGTGGCAATTTTATCTAAATGAATTTTAATGCTAAACGAGGGATAATTCCCTATTTGTAACCCGTTTACTTCTCTTTCCTTTGCCTGTAAAAAGCCGTCTAACATGTGACGAACAATAATAAAACAAAAAATATATTATTTGAGAGTATTATTCATTAATGCGCTATAATTGCAGCTGATTAAGAATAACCCCCAAATGTGACTGCCTTGGTTATATTTTTCGAATAAAAAATAACAGTGAAAGGGGGGGGGAAACCTAAAACGGAAAAAAATCCCTCCAAAGCTTTAATAGCACATACATTTTTTGCTCCATGCCTGAAACTAAAACATTGGCAAGGCTATCAAGACCTAACTTTGGCAGCAAATGTATTCCTATTTTTTCTTGGTATTGCAGGGATAAGAAAGATATACCGGTACGTCCCCAGCCTTCTCTAAAGTTGGAGGAAGAAGGACTTAAACATTTGATGTTCTTAAATCACTGATTGGTTGGCAGTTTCCTAGACAGCCACGCCCCTCCCTCCATTAATGCAAATGACTCGATTTTGTTGGAATATATCCGAATCACTAATCTGTACGATCTAAGTGGCTGTTTCAACATCAGTGCAACTTAAGGCATTGTGATTCTCAGCTTCAATACATACATCAGATAACAACCCCCCCTCCCCAATAAAGAAAGTAAGCAAATAGTAATTAATTACTAGCAAAGTAAGTCACACTCTGAAAACTGCATGACTTCCAATAAGAGAGACAGAGAACACAGAAAATAAAATGACTCAATTTTTTATGGTTATACAATAAAGCTTCAAGTCAGGCTCTGAGCAGAAAGAAACTGCTTTATATAGGAATAGTTAGTTATTTGTTGGGCTTAGTCGCAGGACTTGTGTCCAATGCTAGGTTCAAATTCTGGACAGTGGGGAGTATGCATCTCCTACATGCAGATTGTGCTGCTTTATCCACTGGCTTTTCTTTAAACATTTGAGATGTTAGCTGGATAGAGTGGAAATGCTCTCCTAAGTGCTTCAAGCAGTAGATAAACCAATCTATCAAACTTTGCCTAGTAGTCACCAAACAACTGGTCTCCCTTTTAAATCTAAACACGGAATTGTTACATGGCGGTTTTATGGGGTGACATCTGTGTGAATGGCAGACATCATAGTTCTCACCACTGAGGTCTTTTGTTCCTATCAAGCAGTTTACCATTAAATCTTTTTTTTAAAATAGGAGGGTTTTTTTTATTAGTTTGCCTTAGTGAAAATTCTTCTTTTTTCCCATGCCCTTAGAAACTTTCTATAGCTGTAATATTATTTAGAAGAAAATTATAAGGTATTGTAAACCTAAGCATGTTATTTGGTTCTAGTTAACTAGTTGGCTGCTGAGCAGAATATAAAACTATGCTGGAAATTTGGTCAGTATTTCTATCTACAGCAACCAGATTCGTTTTTGAACATTTTTAAATGTTAAATGCAGATTTTTAAAGTGTAACATCTTTTACTACAGTATATGCACAAATTCAGGTATAATGACTGGCTTTTTTTGTAATTAATATTTTGAGGAGTAAAATTTAATTTACGGTATATCCTAGAATAATTTAATTCAAATAACAAATATATTACATAACAGCAATCATTAATCTGGTGCAATTGGTTTTTTAAAAAATTTGGAATTGCTAGCATCTAATAATAAAGATTTGGAAATCATTTGAAAATAAATAGGACTAGGAAAGTTCACCATAAAAATATTTTACTTTATAATATATTACTCAAGCTTCCTAGTGCTAAAATTATTTTGAGAGAGTGAGACTGGAATAGTTGCTAGCAAATTGCTACAATTTTAGAGGGCTTGGGCAGAAAAAATAAAATTTTCAAGCAGTTGAGCCAGCGTGACAAAAATAATTTGCTTTTATTTTAGATTCAGTTTCATTACTGCACTTGAACTACTACAGCTGGGCTTTGAGTTATTGTACAATCCAAACAGTTTCAGTCAGAAACTCTAAGACTTAATGTGCAATGATTATTAATAATAATTGGCTCCTTGGTTTCTTGATAGAAAAAAAGGCTATCAACAAGCATTTGTTTAACCACAACAAAAGTATAATTAGCTTATCCCACTTAGTAAATCTGTATGCATGCCAACTCATACCAAACTGCTACTTTTACAAAAAGAAAGAAAGAAAGGAAAGGAAAGAAGAAAGAAAGAAAGAAAAGAGGGGGGGAAAGCAATAATACAGTTCATTTTTCCAGTCCTTTTTGCACAAAATTTATTTACAATGTATACATATATGCTCCATGATGGGACTATGGAAAAATGCACGACTGATGCTTTGCCGAAAAAAAATAAAGTCAACATAGTAAAAATAACTCTTCAGTTCATGGTTTGAGAGGCATAAAACAGGAAGTGATGTAGGTGGTTGTAGGCTGCTGCTGCTGCTGCTTCATGGGGATAATGATGCTCTGATGTGACAATTAAGGTCAAACACACTTTTCTCTTGGTTTCCATGCCTCCTCCTACCAGTCTCCTTAAGACATTGCCTGCAACAGCTGATTAATCATTGTTGAGGACTGCAGTTTTTCCCATCCTTCCCGATTTACATCTGTTCAGGCCAATTCAAATATGGTGAGTAAATGAATTAGACATGCAAATTCACGCCCCAGGCAGGGAGGGGAGAAGAGAGGGAGAGAGAGAGAGAAAGAAATAGAAAGAGAGATAGGAAAAAAAAACAGAAATACAGAGTGCATGGCTGAAATCCTAGGATAGAAGAAATGTTCTTCTGCCTGACATAGATATTTTAATGCTCTAAAACTCCTGCAAATAAATCTTTTTTGTCATTTGCAGGATAACTGTAAGGCTTTTTTTTTAAATGTAAGGAGGCTTCTGCAGGAAGTGAAGAGTTATGGAAACAACACACATAGTGTGGAAAAAAATTCACATTTTTTTTCTTAAAAAATCTATAAGAAAGAACGTAATATGGATAACAGAATAATAGCATTTTACAATATTCGACTCTGTTGCCTTATATAGTTATTTTTCTTGTCCCCAGAAGTTGACTTCAGTTGGTGTGTTTTTCCTGCTTTTCAGGGTCCCTATAAAGACAATCTGATTGTTCCTTGGTCCAAATTAGATGCCAAGAATGGAACTCCATTAAGTCATGGTAGAACGACAATATTTCAAATTTGCCGTTCATGAAAATAAAAGTATATTCCTTTAAGTTACTGAGCATGAATGTCCATCACTTGTCCACTCATTGCTGGATCTCCTGTATTGAGCATGGTGGGGCTAGTCGCTGACATCGGCATTCCAGAGTGGGGTGGTCCACCATGCATCATCATTGCTGGGTGGTGGGGGTGTCCCGGAAGGTAAGGATGCATGGGGGGGCCGTGACGCAACTGTGCTGGATGGGGGGGCATCTGGGGTGGTGTATAACTTGGCTGTCCCATTGTCATGCCCATTGGACCACCCCTAGACACATAATCCCCTGGCATACTTTGCAGTCCTGGGGGAAAGAAAAAAAGAAACTTGTGAATATCAGCTTGGATGGGTTGAAATACAGCAATCCTGTTTACAGGTTGTCCTTGTTTAGCAACTGCCTTTTTTAGCCACTGTTAAGGTGGTGATGGAAAAGTAATTTTATCACTGAGCTTCACAATTATGACTTTCACAGGTCTGTGAAGCAAAGGAAAGTAGATTGTAAGCACAGTCGCAATTTCATCTTGTGACTGCTTCATTTAACAACCGAGTTGTCGGTCCCAACTGTGGTTGCTAAACAAGGACTGTTTCTAATCTGGCAAAGACCTTTTTTATACTGAAACTATGCTTAGAGAATTGAACCATTGGAAAAACAACCTAGTTACACAGATACTAAAACAAACATTTGTGTATAGTACCCCCCAAAAGAGGATTACTATTATGTTTAGAAGGTAATCTTTTAGAGAAGGTCATCTTTTGCAGTATAACCTAAGCTTAATATATAAGAACTCTGTGAACTATATACTATGAAACATTTTCAATAAAAGAAGCTTCTTGTCTGTCTCTTAATAGTTTGTCAGATGCACGCATGTGTCCCACAGAAATTAATCCACATACCTATAGTTGATATGGACAGAAAATGTTTGACATCAGTTCCTGAATACAATTCCTTTATTTTCTCTGATTTTTAGAAACAATCTCTTTTGGATAAAATATAATGAAATAGGGTTGTTTGCAAGAAATAATATGGTGTTCTGAGGAGGATAACTGGTTTAAGTAACTTCAAACATCATTCCTAGTTCCTTTTTTATTTAGGCTACAAATGATTTTTTTTAAAAAAAAGTGTTGAGGCACATGGCCTCCTATCTTGCTGAAATTGATACCATGATAAAGGATGGTTTCTAAATCAAACCTGTTGTTTTAAAATGCACAAAACCCAATAACTGATATCAATTAATTCCTTCTTTGAGATTGTTTTTATCGGAGGGAGGGAAAAAAAGCAGAGCTCAGTCAACCTTTCAGTGATTTTTAAGAACAATAAGAAAAAAAATGGGCCTAAGACAATCAACCTCCAGCTTTCGGTAGGCCTCTGCCTTCTGCATGGATTGCTGTACTTGATGGAAACTGACAGATGTATTGTTTCTGAGAGCTATAAGCTCCATAATCATCAAGGGTGAAAGGCATAGCTCTATTGCTAAGTAGGTTCAATTGGCTTGAGTTCTAAGTAATAGTGCACTGTGAATTCTATGAACACCTTAGAATCAGGTCTCCAGACTCTAGCAATGAACCGCTGCTTAATCTAGCCTAAAGGAACATTTTTGAACTAATGAAAATTGGTTATAAAATATACTGTACTCACAGCTGTTTAATAAAAAAGGATGATTTTTGTAATAACCTATTAATTTAATTGGCCACAAAGCATAAAATACATCATTTAAAATTTAATTGACCTAGAAAGTAAGAAACAATATTGAAATTAACTAAGCTAGAAAAATGTCCATAATGAGATAATAACTTAGTTGCATTCCCAAGCTGACCCGGAATGTTTTCACAGCTAATTGTTAAAAACTTGTTTTTTACTAACATTTGCAGAATGGCTGGGAAGCAGCATCCATCCTGGCAATTTCTAATGGTATGGTAAAGTACTGAGAGGCATGTACAAAAAGATGTCAGGAGTAATGTTTCCACTTTTATTGGGTGGGGGGATGAAACAACTCTGGGAATATTTAATATGCACTGATATTTTTTATATTGCCTTATTATTATTATTATTATTTTAAACCGCTCTTTCTTTTTAAAAAGACAAGAGCAAAGAACTGGGACAGGGTTTGCAGGCTTATTTCACTAGGCTAGCCACTGAAGATTGCATTAATGATCTCTATTTTAGTACATTGAATAAGTCAAATCCATTTGTCACACTGCAACTGATGGCATACTTAATTTGGATATAGTCAATTAGCCTGGGCTAAGCTCCATAGCCTGCTGTGCGCACCTCGGTTTGGTATTCTCTTTCTTTCCCTTTGCCCTGCATAATCCCATTATGATAGCCAGACAAAGAGAAATAAAACTTTTTTAAAAGTTTCACAATTACAGAACTGAGTATCCTGAGCGAAGCTTCTGTTTCTTCTACCTAAAAAGAAGTTTCTGTTTTAGCTTTTTGGTGTCTTGCAGGTTAGTGTAGAAATGTAACTCATGCATCAACTGTGGTTAGACAGATTTATGACACTTTGGGGACATGCTCTTTCGTCTCCTTGCACTGCTGCAGACTGCTTACATTTTGCAAATCAGTCTGTTACTATGACAACTCCTCCCCTCTCTCTCCTCTTGGCTGTTTCTTGTTTTGTCATGTGGTCAGTACTGTATAATAGCAACATACAGGGATAAATGTACATCATATACAGTGCTTTCTAAACTGAAAGCTTGATCAAAAGAGAGAGAGTGAGAGAGAGCATAGAGAAACCAAGAATTTCATGGGAAGAAATGAGCAAGCATGAAACTATGGGCAAGGAGAATGTAAGAAAAATGCAAGAAGGGAAGAATCCAGAACATAGTGAAGATAATGACCCCATTTGTACTTACTTCCCCCTTGCTTTGCGATTGGTTAACTAGATGAAGGTTACATGTAGTGCCATTGCCCCTCCATGCCCATATTCATGCCCATTCCACTCATAGGTCCTAGAAGGGAGATAAAAAAATCCAAGAAGATGCCAGAGAATGAGCAAAGTCAACAGATAGTGCCAAAAGACCCTTAAAAACACAGATATACCAGAGGCTCAAGGAATATTCAGACATTAAGAGTGGAAAAGATCCCTGTCTTGTCCCTAGGTCATATTTCAAGTGCACCAGAAGACAGGAAAAGGCAAGGCAAGGCAAGTGCAGCAGAGGATGAGGCAGAGTTACCTGTGTTTACAGTGTGAAGAAATGGTATTGTTGACACATTAGGACTCGGAGGAAAGTGCATGGCAACTCTTACCTGGTGCTCTGATTCCCATGTGCTGTTGACCATCCATCACAAAACCTCCCATTGGTTGTCCATCTGGATTATAAGGTGTTCCTTGGCTTACTAAAAAGGTGCAGGAAATTGCTTAGTATCTCTTTATCAGCAAAATGATCAGTTGTCTTGGAAGGAACTGATCAGTTCATTTCCAGACACATTGGAGTTTAAAGTTATTGCTATTGTGTCAGCTATTTTAATTGAGAAACAGTTATTTTTTTTATATACCTTCCTCATACCTTACAGAAAAAAAGATTAATAGCTTCTTTAGTCCTCTACCACCTCATCTGAATCAATAAAGGGAAATATGAGTCTACATAAGGGTATCTAACAGCTGCCTCTTGGTTTCCCAGCCCATGTGCATACATTAAAAAATCCCCCACATGAAATTAATTATTTGCTGCAGCCAGATTATGAGCCAAGCATTCCGTATCTATACCTGTCTGCCCAGACACCATCTATGAATTTTATCATGGATAGTTTTAAATATTCACAGATAACTCACATTTTGGCTTTGGCTTAGTGTGATGCATGAATCCATCCCAAAGAAAATACAAGCCATAGTTTACATACCACTTTGATACATTTGTACATCAGGCTAAGCCAAACATGCAAAACACCCTATATTATGACTATATTTTCTGAAACAGGTCTTACAAAGCTGGATCAGTGGTCTTCCAAATTAATTTTCTATGCATGTACAATAATAATGCAACTGCAAACTAGTATTCTTTTACAACTTTTCTCAATCTGAATCTATCCAGGTATTTTGAGCTGTAATTCTTGTCAGTCCTAATAATAATGGCTTGTACTTAGAAAAGTGGAATTTGCAAGTTTTAAAAAAAACCACCTATAAAAGCCGTGTTGGAAATAATGAATTAATGTTTATGAGAGTCTAGTAAAGGTTTTCTATTATCCCTAAACCTGCTTTGTGTAGCAGTTAGTCCTGTGTGGAAACACATTTCTCATTAAATGTGTTCTTTTTTTATAGACAACAGAATTTGCATTCTTTCAGATGTGCATAAGAATGCATGGGCATAGAAGACCCATGTCTGCTCAAATACATCTATACAAATCTCAATGAAAAAAATATTGGTAATACTTGGCTGGGTCAAAAACTATTCCTTCCCCCATTTCAATGAAGACATGTATTGCTTGGGACCATCTCTCTGCCATAAATGGAGATGGCTGGGGAAAGCGGCTCACATTTTGGAAGAATATTAGTTAATAAATAAAAATTCCAGAGCTGCTGTTGGGGGAGTGGGCGGTGGGGAGGAGGGCTAGCAGTTAAAAAACAACCCTATCACTGCTTTAAGCAGAAGCAGAGTTGCAATAAGTAACCTGCGGTTTTTCTTATTGAGAATGGCAATGGCTTTCTCTATGGACCATTCTCTCAACAAGAAATACCATGTGTTGCTGAAGAAGCAGCAATTCCTTTTTCATTTCCTTCACATATCTATTAGGCTAGGCTCCTTGCAAAATAGAACAAGAAATTTATCCCAATGCCATAGTGCATGAAAAGATTTTAGGAATGTTTTCATCAAGTCGACAAATGCTGAAGAATTCCGGGGTGAATAATATGACCTCAGTCTACGTAGATGTTTATAGTTTAAATCATCAGACTTTGAAATGCATGCAGAGACCATGGCATGGCACCACTAGCTCCATTGCTCCTCTTAAGGTTTTGCTTCAGTCACTGCAGGGCATTTTATGAGTCTTGTAGATTGATCAGGAAGATGTACAGATACTTAACCAATGTTTAAATAATCTTTAAGAGTAGATAACCTTGGCTAGTCTTGCTATTATTTCTTCCCTGAAAATAATCACACTGCAAATAATGCCTGAAAGATACATTCTTGTATTTGGCAATAACATGGAAAAATAAACATGTAGAATTTCCAGAACGAATTAAAGCCTTGCTATTTTTAAGCTTGACTTAAGTCAGTGTGATGATTAGAAGGTTCATACGTATCAAAATATAGATACCCCAAAGTGAAGGATAAGTGGAAGATGCAGTTGCAAAAACCTTTGTCACTTAAAAAAATCAGCACAAGGTGAATTCTAAGATTCTAACAGAACATTAAAAGCTAGATAAGCTGCCTTTCTTTATTAAAGCACATGTAGTTCTACCTTAACTGAATGTCTTTGAACTTTACTGAATTCCACAAGCACCGTGACCCTTTTGCCCTTTGGACAGGTAATAAAGTTTACAGCAATTCCACATCTAGCCATGCACCAGGGAGTGTCATAATAGCAGAAATAGCTGGGAAGAAATATTTTAAAAAAAAAACAATAATGTATGTGTGGTATTAAAATTCAGTAAGCAACCATGTAGTTTATGGCTGACAGAATATATTTACCTCCAAAATATGCTCAATTGTACTAAATCCACTAACTTTGAAATAAATCACGGTAGGCTTTGTTTTAATTGTCAAGCCATTCTCTGCATTATTTCCCAATTATTTAACCAATAAGAGATCTCCTGGTGAATGGCTTGTGAAATTTTCTGTCAGCAAGACAGGGCTACAGTTAATATTGAAAACTTGCCTGCTCGGTTGGACTGGTCTATCATGGGCTGAACTATCCTTCTTCTAGCATTAATAAACCTGGAACAAGAAAAGAGAGTGAACTGTTATTTTTTTAAAAAGCCCCCTATGCACTTGGAAGATGGTTGGTATATGTTCCCTGGGAGTTAATTTTAGTGTACATTCAAATGCTGCAAAACTCGTAACCTCTCTGATGACCTCTGAAAATGCAAGTTTGGATTGTGAGTTGATTTATGCTGGCCTCCCTTTGCCACAGTTGGACACTTTTATTTCATCTTTTCATGGAGGAGTTAGCAGAATTTTCAGGAAACAAGATCAGTTTAATTCTTTTCAATTCATATTATGCTGGGAGAGGGGGAACTGGGTGAGAAAAAGATGCCAATCCATAAAAGCATTCATTCCCTTTCCCACTCACACGTAATGTAATTAGCAATATTTTCCTAGCAAATTTTCTTTTCTTCCCTTCATTATCAAAACCTTCCTTGCCTCTCCCAATCATAATTTTGTTGTAATGGTTTTATTAAGATAATGAACTGTAATGGTAGTTCACCATCAAATAAGAACATGTCTGGCATCTTATCTCCAGCAGGTCACACTGCTTTGGACAACCTAATAATCCATTTCTTCTATACAGTATTTATTTATTTTTTCTTTTCTTTCTGCTTCTTACGCAAATAGAGTGTATCATAGCTATACAATGATGGAACTTTTTTTCCTCCTGCCAAGTCTGAACATTTAAAACAATCAATTTATTAAACTTTAATTAGTGTATCACAGAACTAGACTGGATTGAGGCAACAAGTGACCCGGTTCAGATAAAGCATAGTTAAAATTTGTCATTTGAATTTATATTCTAATGAACCCTAATTCCTTCAGTCATTCTGGAACTATTATGAAAAAAAGAGATTATTACAGTACAAAGTAAAAGTAGTTAATTAGAGCTAACTGAACTTAATCGTATATTATGCATATCTATTCAGAAGTGATTTCTTCTACATTTAATGATTTTATTTATAGAAATTCAAATAACGATTGCAGTTATTAATAACATAAATGTAAAGTCCAAATTAAATGCGTATCCATGATAATTGTATCTCATACTTATTTTCTTCATTTTCATACAAATATTACTGAATATTAACACAGCAGAAAGGATTTCTAGGGAGTCTCTTATCTTAAATCTTATCTTAGATCATCCTTTGTTGCCTGGTTGAAATTTGACACTCTCTTCAAGAATGAAAAATAAAATGTTAGAATGGAAATAAAAAAATCACAAAGTTTCAGCTTTTGTTGCTGGCTATTTCATGTCTATTTAAAACCACTGAACTTTGTTTAGGCCTTTTATCCCTGCTACTGTGACCTGATTTTAAATAACATTTCTGCTTGATATTCCCAATCCACAAACCAGCCATTGCCATCTAGCTTTAAACAGAGGGGGAGGAGAACAACAACAATGAGGCTTGAATTTTAAGTTTCCGCTTCCTTCCATACAATACTGAACAGGCTAGAATCTTGAACACCAATCCCATCCACAACACTTTTGAAGAATGTTATTTTTATGGTACCAAACTGTCCTATCTTCACTGATTCACTGAAATTAAGAATGAATTTTTAATTAGGCTTTATTTATTTATTGTTAATTATTTATCTCGGTAATATTTCTGTATGCCATTTGTTTAATTTGTTCCCGCTATGTTTGCAAATATGATATCTCATGCTGCTACCCCAGTCATAAAGGTTACACCTATAAAACTCTGCTGTGAACTTCCATTCCTTTTTAGATAAAAGCAAAAATGCAAACTCTTAGGTCAAATCATTGGATAGCTGTTTGAAGCACAAATATTAAACTGGTCAGCAAAATATTTCCATATTTCTTCTCTCATTGGGAAAAACCACAGAACAAACAATTAAAACTATGTTTCTCTTTAATGAGTTATCATATACTACCCCTAATTTGAAAACTGTCAGAAAATAATTTCCATGCAAATTTTCAAAGGAAGATTACAAAGCAGCGGTTTCCCCCCCACCATTTATCATGAAGTACTAACAATTGATTTTTCCACCATAGATAACCTTACCTATAGAAGGCAATTTTAATTTCCAGGCATAGAAAGCATCAGGTGTGCTATTAAGAGTAATGTATGTTTATGCTTCCCAGTTTCCTGAGGACCTCACTGTGTCAAGTAGCTTAGTTGATACACTTAGTTGATGCCCTCAGACAGAAATCTGTAAAACAGCATTCTCCAAACTGGTGCTCTTTAAACATGTAAGATACTGACTCATAATGTTTAGACTTTTAGATTTTTTTAAATAGATAACTTAATGCTGTGAACCAGTGGTGGATTTCAAATTCCGTTCCAACTGGTACGGTTGGAATGGGGCCGGCGATGTCGTCATGTATGTGAGCAGTCCGCGCATGTGTCTTAGTGCCTCCTCAATGCTCTGTGATGCTCCAGCTTCTCTGCGGAGCATCATGCAGGTGCTATATACGCCATGCACGTGCGCGACAGTGCAGAAGCTTTAAAACACAGATAAGAAGCTCGGGCGGGCTCTCCGGAGTCCTGTAGCAGAACGGTATCCGGTGCTCCCAGCTGGCTCCGGTACGCCCATACTGGGACATACCGCCTCCAACCTACAACTGCTGTGAACATACCTAATTCTCCTTCTTCCTCCAATTTGCTGCAGCATCAACCCAGTAAGTAAGATGAGTGGGGATGAGAGAGTGACTGACCCAAGGTCACCCAGCCAGCTTTCATAGTTAAGGCAAGACTAAAACTCACAATCTCCCGGTTTCTAGCCTGGTATTTAACTACTGGATCTAAATGAACCTCTCCTATTTCACCAGTTTCAATAAGTTTGTATCCCCCACCCCAATAGACTTATGCGAAGATCTTTTAACTGTGCCTCAGGGACAGGGATACAATAAAGAACTTGCTTTACCTCTTGAAAGGCAGCATTTACCTATATCTGTTCAGCAGCCAGGGTGTGTGCGTGTGTGTGTGTACGTGTGCACATGCACACGCACACTGCAAAAACAAACAGTGTCACAATTGTGGCTGCAAAGCTGGAAATTATATAAACTCCCACATTTATGTTAAAGATGGGTATAGAGCCGATGTGGCGCAGTGGTTAGAGTGCAGTACTGCAGGCCATTTCAGCTGACTGCTATCTGCAGTTCG